ACCACTAAAATCAAATTAAAACGACAAACGTCCCTATCTGTGAAATAGTAAGCCATATTTTTTCAGCTATGGTAATATATTCAAGGTGTGTAATTGTACTGATAACCTGAATCTGGAAATACAGTCCGCTCTAGAAATATCGTGCGCATTGTCCACATTTCAGACAATTGACGATGTCCAGCATAGCAGAATCAATCATTCTCACGAACCACAGGCACTATTCTGTCATATATGATGCGTTTGTTTACAGCGGATACTCACGGAAACGCCTTCATCCAAGAAGTAGTTCTGCAGAGGAAGGCACAACAGCGCCAGGAGGAATGCAGTGAGTATGTTGCGACAGTACGTATTGGCACGGATCAGCTTAGCAGTGGACTTTAAGCAGATGGTTTGTTAAACACACACACACAAACACACAGATAGAGTGCAGTAGCGAATAATGCTCAAGAAATGTTCACTGATTCATAATAAATCATGCGAGCGTGTGGTATGTCTCGTTTAAAAATATGCGTCCATTTTTCTAGTTCTCCCTGCTAGTTCGTAGTACTTCTTAATATTTTATAACATTCCTGAACATCTATATTCCTTAAGTTTTTGAGTTTACTTAATTGATTACGACTTGTTTAACGACGCTGTCAGTAACTTAGACTACATGGCGTCGAATTTTATGACGGCTATGTATAATTAATTGCTGGTCACAGTGGCCACATGAATTCTCTTCGTTCACTTGAACACTTGGATCGTGGGTTCGAATCCCACTTGAGGCATGGCTGTTTGTGTGCGTTTATTCTGTGTTTGTGCTGTTCTGTGTGTAGGTAGCGGACTTGCAACAGGCTGATCCCTCGTCCAAGGGGTTATACCGACTGAGTAAAAGATCAAGAAATTGAAAAAGCTGCCAAAGTCCAACAAAGGGCTGTAGAGCCATAGATAGATAAATAAATAGATGTATAATTAATTGCTGATCACAGTGACAGCGCGGTCTAAGGCATGAATTGTCTTCGCTCTCTCGAACTCTGGGATCGTGGGTTCGAATCCCACTCAAGGAATGGATGTTTGTATGTTTGTAGCGGCCTTGCGACGGGCTGATCCCCTGTCGGAGGAGTCCTACCGTCTGTGTATAGGATTAAGAAACTGAAGAAGCGGCCAAGGTCCAACAAAAGGACTGCAGAGCCATGCATAATTAGATGTATAATTGGATGAAAGGAAGCTGTATTGACCTAATTACCTAATTTGAGGTACTATCCTATGTTCAGCTTGCGATTTGGTGGTGACACTAATGAAATTCTATACGGAAATTGATAATAAACATCGGCACACCCATGCCCTAAAATGGATCGCTAAATCTTGTAATTATTGATGCATATTCGTAGTTCATATTAGCCCCACCACAAAGACTGAATTACTTAAAAGAAAATGTGTCATAAAATTGTCCCCACAACTCCCTGTTTACATGCTACTAAAAATGTTACATTTGCCGTTACAAGAACTGGACCACATCCCGAATGACTGCAGATGCAGGGACAAGACCCGGGTGTTCTGCAGGCACCTTGGACTCACGGAGGTTCCGCAGGACATCAGTGACCACGTGACCCGCTTGTGAGTAGGTCTAAAAAGCATAATCCTTTGTGGTTTAAAGAAAAATAAAAGTGTACACACTTCATGAATGCACATCTCATTGACTTTATTGTTTATTTACTGCGCATAAGAAACCTTGGTCCAAAGCTAGTCGTACAAAGGGACGCGTTGTAACTCATGCAGTTACTCGTTGGCTTCCCACTGCGGCGGCCCGGCTTCGAGCCCGGGTCATGTAATGTGGGATTTGAGGTGGACAAAGTACTCGGTCTTACCCCACTAAAGAATAATAAAAAAAATAGTCGCACAAAGATAATGCCCGGCAGAGTCAGATATCTTATTATTTTCTTTACATTCGTAACATATGCGATACGAATTATTTTTTCGGTGCTTGGGACATGCAGCAGGCGTAAGGAAGAAGGAGAATGGTTACAGATTTTGATGGAAAGTCTGAAGGTAGGAAACCTCATGGGAGGCCCTGGAGTACTTTGGAGGATAATATTAAAAGCGATCTTGAAGATAAATGTTGTGAGGCTGTGGACTAAATGCAACTGGCTCAGAGTAGGGTTCAGCAGTAGGTTCTTGGGAACATTATTCTGAAACTTCGGGTTCTGCAAAATGCGGAGAAATTCGTGGTCATCTATGTAACTATCAGATGTTCAAGACGGACTCTACTCAATGAAATTAGAACCCTTTTCACAACACCGATGAAGTTCGATTTAGGCTTCATTTAACATAGGCCTGAAGAGAAGAGACATATATGAGATCTAGGCGTGGACGGGAGGATAATATTAAAACGGATCTTAGACAAATAGGTTATGGGGCTATGGACTGAATCAAAATGGCGCAGAGCAAGGTGCGGTTATGGGTCGTTAAGATCACGGTACTGAATTTTCGAGTTCCATGAAAGGCGGAGAAATTCTTGGCCAGCTAGATAAATATCAGCTTCTTAAAACTGACTTTGTTTCATGAAATTCTAAGTGTTCCTGATGAAATCGCTAAATTCGAGCTGAGCTCAATGTACAGTAGGTTTTGTGTTAAACCAATGCGGACCACAACGAAACCCTCCCGATAAAATTCGGAGTAGACATTTAGTATTAAATTTCATCGAAATCCCTTCAGTAATTCCATGGACATGGCATGCAGACGGATGGGGGGAACACGACCTAATCCATTTATTCTTACCTTTTCAGGATTTTGGTGAACAACTCCATTAAACTGTCCCGTGATTCATTCAAAAGGTACACCAATTTGGAACTCATGTAAGTAACAATAATTAGTTTAATACGAACAACTGTTGTCTTAGTAATAATCATGTCATGTACGTGATACGTTTCGCAAGGATTGTTTATAAATAAATTAAATCTGGTTATAATTCTAAAATTCACATTCCTAACAGCATTATTTCACTGAAAGTGTTTTAGTGTGTTATTATAAGTGAAACAATATTCTTCAAATAAGATACACGTAATAAATCACAGATTACTATTTTGATTTGCAATAAAACAGTAACAATTGGTGTCAATATTATGTCATAACCCTCAGACTCACGCTTTACGACTGTGTAGAAGGACTGCTTCTGTTCGACAATAATAAAATCCAGTGTGTGTTTAGAACTTGATCTTTCACTCCAATGAAAGGAAAACGATGCAAATGTTTGAGAGAACAGGGTACTGAGGCGAATATTTGGACCCACGACGGAGAAAATTCATAATGAGGAGCTCATAATTTGTATTCTTCGCAAAATATTGTCATTTGCAGGGGTGTGTGTGACTTATAAGACGGGGTTTTGGGTTGGCTGTTTGGGTGTATTTACACTTTATACATTCACACAACTCAGGACTACAAACAATTACAGCGCTATCGCTATTCTACACACTTCTAAATTGGTTGTTACACACGCACTAGGATTCTCAGTCTTCACTAGTCATATCCTGGCAACGGGTTTATAACAGTCTCACTGTAACTTCACATCACACATGAAGTCTTCTTTTCTCAGTCTAATCACCTCCGACTGCCATCTCCATTACTGGACCCAATTCTAATTGTAGCTGTGTGAGATCCTTGTTATATAGCCTCGGGCCTACCCACAGAAAACACCGTCCTCTTTTGTTAAAGAGCGTGTTTACAACTCCGTTGTCGTTGAATCGACCAAAATCAAGGAGGAATCAGATGTGTAGTGCGCGAAACACAAATAGGAGATATGAGAAATGCAGACATCACCTTGTTTGGAAATCCTGAAGGGAAAAACCTCTTCGGGGACCTAGATGAAGATTGTAAGACACTACAGAGGAGGATGTTACAGGGACAGAATATGATGGTGTGTGGTGGATTCATCTCGCTGACGATAGGGTCTAGTGTGCCCTTGTGAAGATGATAATTAACTTCGACTTCCATAACAGCAGGGAACACTTATCTAGATGAGCTTCTAACGTCTTCTTTGGGACTCTGCCCCCAGTGTACGTATAATTAAGTTAAACAAGTTACTGGTTCATATAATATGACTTATCGCGTCGTCTGTTACTTGCAGTCATTTGGGTTGGAACGACATAGAAGAACTTCCTGATGGTGTCTTCGAAGGACAGCGCATACTCAGTCGCCTGTAAGTACTTTTCATAGATATTATTCTTACACGAATATGGTCACAACAGACGTGAGCCAATAACAAACATGATGCAACTTTCCATATTCCTTTTCCGTTTTGAGCAACTATCCCATGATGGAATTCGTCTGGCTTTCGCCACAAATCTTTAGTTTGTGACACAATGCTGTGATCAGCTGGTTTCCCCATCGGCCTGTCGCCATATTCATCGTCAAGAAACAGAATAATTAAATAAAAGTACTCAACAATTCAGCGGTCCCTACTACTTGAATCGCGCCTATTTTTCTTGACTTATTCATCGATACTGGCGATGGCATATCCCTCCGAAACGTCGGTTGACTTTCAGCGGACCACACATCGTTATATCCCAGGAAGACAGAACTCCTCAACTATCTATTTTTTTCTCATGTGACTTCCATGCTAAATTCACTCTAAAATAAACAGACCTTACTTAAATTCCATTTTCTACTGATCTTCACAAAAAGTTGACATACGTGTATTAAGGTGGACTACTTACCAAAGTAACACGAAGTAGCAGAATTCCGTTTCAGCTTTTGCGGAGACTAAAAGTTCCAAACCGATGTCACGATAACCCATCACATGAACCCATGCTGAGCAAGAGTGAACGAGATAAATTAAGGAGAATTTGTTTCCAGCTTCTTAACAAATAATAAACTGACGGAACTTCGGGCCGGGACGCTTAAGGACCTCACCCACCTCTCGTGGCTGGTTCTGCAGGACAATCACATCGTTCACATTGACCTTGACGCTCTCAAGGACTCCAGTCTTACTTGGCTGTAAGTATTAATCCACTGTCTCTATCGGTACATCACATAAGTATATTGTAATGTAAGACTCAGAGACTCTGATAAACGTGATTAATTTTTCGACCCGCAAGTGAACGAATTAGTGTTTCATTATTGTAAATGTTAGACGTAAAAATGTATCCCTATTCTTAACTAATTAAGCGCTACGCCATGAAGGTGTATGGGGGAAGCTGAGAGTCACTCTGCTAGTCAAGAAATTCCCTTAATTTTACGAAACTTAAATGATCATTACCGTATTCAAAAGAACCCGGTACTGAGCCCTTCCCTGATCCCCAAATAATTGGTCCATTTTGAACATTTTTGAAGAAGCTAGATTTTACGGCGAAGAATATTTCCCAGCCCAAAACCCAAAGTGGAAGACCATTCTTTCGCGACTGTTTATTCGGTACAGACCAGCTGAAAGAATGATTTCTGAAATGGAAATATTACGAACTAGGGAACGTTATGTAACGTTTATTTGTATTCAGCAGGCAATTTGTCACTACTGAAATCCTGACTATAATGACTGAGTTTGCATTTATGGTTTTCCGTGCGGTTTTCTACTGAGCCGGGATAGAGCAGTCAGTGTAGCGACTGGCTACTGGATGGACGGCGGAGGGGTCAGAGTTCGAGTCTCAATTTTGGCAAGATTTTTCTCTTTCCACGCCTTCCAGACAGGTTTTGGGGCCCACCCAGCCTCCTATCCAATGGGTACCCCGAGGCGTGAAGCTGACCACTCACTTCCAACTAGTACCGAGGTCAGGAATACGGGAATCTATATATCTACTCCCCCATAGGTCTTCATGGTGTAGTGCTTAATTAGTTAAGCACAAAGACAATTACACCTTTAAACTTTACCTCGTTTTCCTAGGCGAATACCATTATAGTACCTTGAAATATGTATTATTACTTTTTTTTTGCAATCCTCTCAATTTCATCTTTTTTTTTTAACTGAAACTTTCGTGAGAAAACTTCACAGTTGCATGAAACGAAAACTGTGACGGATATCAAAGTACTCATACCGATGTTATCGTCCTTAACTATACCGAATGTTAGCGGGTTCGTTTCCCGATGGGGTCATTATATTTTTCAATTGACCCGATCCTTCCAATCGCACTATGACCCTGGAGTCGACACAGCCTCTAACAGAAATGAGTACCAGGAATTTTCCTTGGGGGTAAAAGACAACCAGCGCCTAAGCCTGATAATCTCACCACCATCTGCGAATCGATTGCCTAGAAAATGTGAGAGCCTCGACGTCTCACAACCCTATGGGCCTCCACAACCTGTTACAGGGATAGCTTTACCATATTCATACTTCCAATGAATAAGTTTAATCGTCACAGAAGCTTGTTTCCAAATTATCAGATGTACGTTACGTTGGACTTCAAAAGACGAACTCTGTGTGGAAATAGTAGTTGCCATGTCTGTTGCGGGGAACTCGAATGTTGTCTGCTAGTGTGTATTGCGCCACTACTTGATTCACAGATATGTTGATTGGGAAGGCAGTCGCAGCTTTCAAATAAATCAGTGTAGACATTTCAATCAAAGTAAACCGTCTGCTCTCTGTCCCCTTGTATCGTCTTTTTACTGTAGTTCAGTATCCGAGGATAGTTACGGCACGGAATTACATGAATTAAGTTGATAATACTTCACTTTACTGCTTAGACTCATGAGACCGTCTCATCTAATGTCTGTAGCGTGCCTGAGCTGCGTCGAGATCTCTACAGAATTACACCATGACTGTCCGCTACAAGTTATACTTTTAACCAAGTCTCTCTCTTACGGCGCAACAGTGTGCCTTCCTACATCTGTTCCCGTCCCTTCTAACTTTCCAACATGCTTACATTTTCCAGTATACGTACATTTAACACGTACATGCCAAAGGTTTAGGCTGAATGATTAGTATTTCTGCCTTATTTTCCAGAAGTACTAGGTTAGAATCTTTCTGTCATGTCTCTCACATCCTCCCCATGTTTCCTTCTCATTGGTTTGTTAAGCGTAACATTATTTGGTAAAGAAAAGGTAAAGCTATTCCTTTAATAGGTCATGGGTTGTGAGGCGTCGAGGCTGCCACATTTTCTACACAATCGGCTCACAAATGGCGGTGAGGTTGTCAGCCTTAAGCGCCGGCCGCACTTTACCTCCAGCAAGATTCCTGGTACTCATTTCTGTTAGAGGCTGAGTCGACCCCAGGTCCATAGTGCGGCTGGAAGGATTAGGTCAATCGAAAATTCTAGTGACCTCAACGAGAATCAAACCCGCGACCTTCCGGCTTGTAGCATAGTGCTTCAACCAACTACGCTACCACGTGCAGGCTTGCGGCAGTACACAGACTAACCCAGAAATGATCACGAGGAGAAGGTTTAAGGCATTCAATAATTTATAATGTACGAGCAGCACAAAATCAAGACTTACAGGTCTGGAAGTTTCATTGGAGGTTAGCAAGCTCCAGATGTACAAGTGACAGTGCACACAAACACGAAGATGCAACTTGATTTAGAATATATGCATGTTATAGGGAGCCGCGGGATAGCTCGGTCGGTATAACGACTGGCTACGGGTTGGACGACGGAGTGGTCGGAGTTCGAGTCCCGGTAGAGTCAAAGATTTTTCTTCTCCATGTCGTCCAGACCTGCTCTTGCCCCCCCCGGCCTCCTATCCAATGTCTACCGGGGGCTCTATCCCCGGGGGTAAAGTGGCAGGAACGTGAAGCTGACACTCATCTCTAAATAATCTAAATAATCTCTAGAAAATGTGGATCTATACATCCTCTCCCCCTACGCCGTCATGCCGTAGTGCTTAATTAGTTAAGCACAGGAACAAATTTTACTTTTACGTTTACCTTAGCAAAATAAAGCTGTGCTAACATTGATTTAGGAGTCGGGATAGCTCAGTCGGTGTAGTGTCGGGCTACGGCTGGTCGACCAGGTTTCGATTCCCGGCAGGGACAACATTCTTCTATCCTCCACAGCGTTCAGACAGGCTCTCGGTCCACCTACAGGATGCGTGCCGAGAGCAATTTATCCGGAGGTAAAGTGGCCGAAACGTGAAGCTGACCATTCACCTCTAACTAATGTCAAGTCAAGAATGGTGGAGCTATACTTCCACTCCCCTGTATGTCTTTATACCATAGTGCTTAATTAATTAAGCACAGAAGCAACTTCACCTTTTTAGCATAGACTAGTATGTTTGAAAATAGACTCCTGAGAAAAATAGTTGGAGCTAATGGACATAAAGTAAAAGAAGGACGAGAAAATTACGTAATAAGTAGCTGTATAAATTGTGCTGTTCGCCAAATAATACTGGGACAGCTTTACTTTTTACTTCCGTAAGTGGAAAAGCATTGCTTCACGGCGCAGCTGGCTGGCCCACGAGCCTACAACCGCGACAAAGAGATGTAAACTCTCCAGGGGGTAATAGAAACTCTGAGGCTTAAAACTTCAAGCTCCATGTTATACAATCCGCAGACGAAACGCGGAAACACAATACAGTCGGAAGAAATGTAGGAGAAATGTGTCTAGGCCTGTTTAGTTACGTCAATCTACAACAAACATTTCGAAAACTAATTTGTTAATACATTTGTACTTGAAAGGATTCTGACGATGGTGTAAGCTACACAGAACTATAAGGCTTATTTTGGGCTCTTTCCAACGTCTGGTGTATATAAAACAAGAAAACCACAACGTTTCGGAGACTGGATCTGTCTCCGTCCTCAAGTGGATGGGGCAGGATAGACCTACACAGTTGGGCCCCGTTAGAAAGAGTGATTGAGACTAGCTCTTTCTAACCGGCCCAACTGAGTAGGTCTAATCTGTCCCATCCACCTGAGGACGGAGACAGATCCAGTCTCCGAAACGTTGTGGGTTTTTTGTCTTTTATTTAACAGACGATGGATAGAGACCAAAATAAGCCTAATCCCCCCCCCCTTGGCACTACAGCCCCAGTGGGCCTAGGCCTACCTCGATGAACTTCTCCGTTCACTTCGGTTCTTCTTGATCTTACACATACGGTAGGACTCCTTGGGCGGGTGATCAGCTCGTCGCAAGGCCTCTACCTGTACACAAACACATAAAAACGCACACACACAAACTAAACATCCATGCACTGAGTGGGATTCGAACCCACGGTCCCGGTTTCCAAGCGAGCGAAGACAGTACATACCGCTTGGGTACCGTGACCGGCAAAATAAGCCTAATAGTTCTGTACATTTGTACTTGTGTATCAACATACACGTTTAAATCTTAATAACTTAGTAACCATTGTAAAGGCAAAGTAGTCCTATGCTTAAGCATCGCGCCATGAAGACGTGTAAGTAAATGGAGCCATAACTGCACTCACCTTATACTTTCAGGGAATAGTAACTTATTAAATAATTAACAGAGATCAATTTTATCTTTACTAACCAACGTTCTCTAAGTTGATATTTTTGACCTGGCAGAAGTTGGCAAGCCTGTGACGAATTAGGTTCATCTTAATATACATGGAACTTGCGCACAAATGTGTTAGAGCACAAAATGCATTTCATATCACGGTCTCATTACAGAAATGTGTGGAAATATATCTGCAATATTAATTTGTGATATACACCATTCATTAACTATTGTATTTTTATTTTCTTTTTGCCCTGCATATGAATCTGTTCCTTGCATTTTCAGTGACATAACGAGAAACTGTCTGACGCTGGACGGATTGACTTTTCCGGAACTTCCTCGGCTCAAACAATTGTAAGTCAACAAAGTTTGTGCATGGTCACGTGGTGAAAACATTACGGTGAGTCACTACATCTAATTCCGTCGAGGTGGTTCCTTCTTCAGAAAACTACTAATCGCTGATTTAATCAAGAAATTTCCCATCTTTTATGAAATATGAAAGGTCATTTCCATGTCCATAAGTGCAGGCCACAGGGCCTTATCCTGAGCGAGATAAATCCAGTTTACACCCTATTTAAATTACATCTTAATGTGATCCTGAAGGGATGAAGTGAAAGGAGTTTGGAGAAAACTGCATAATGAGGAGCTTCATAACTTGTACTCTTCTCCAAATATAATTAGAATGATCAAGTCAAGGAGAATGAGGTGGATAGGGCATGTAGCACGAATGTGGAAGAAGAGGAATGCATATAGGATATTGGTGGGAAAGCCAGAAGGAAAGAGACCACTGGGAAGACCAAGACGTAGGTGGGTCGACAATATTAACACGGATCTTAGAGAGATAGGATGGGATGGTATGGATTGGATTCATCAGGTTCAGGATAGGGACCAGTGTAGGGCTCTTGTGAATACGGTAATAAACCTTTGGGTTCCATAAAATGCTGGGAAATTCTTGAGTAGCTGCAGATTTGGCTTCTCCTCAAGAGGGGCTCGGCTCCATAAGTAAGTAAGTAAGTAATGTGGACCTCCCGTATTTGATTAGTATCTGTAAGTAGTTTCTGTTCTCTTGAGATTTTCCAACAAAAATTTTGTAAGCATTATCACCTCCAACATGTGTGGTACATACTTTGATCATCCGGTCTTCATTGATCTGATAACCCTAGAAACATTTTCAAAAGAATTATACTGGCAAGCACTTTTTTTGCAATTAATCCTTACATTGACAGTAAGGACGCGCCATAGCTCAAGCGGTTAGTCGCTGGCTTCCTACCGCAGCGGCCCAGGTTCGATCCCGGGTCTGGTCAAGTGGGATTTGTGGTGGACAAAGTGGCGCTGGGGCAGGTTTTCTCCGAGTATTTCGGTTTCCGCTGCCAATCTTCATTCCACCAATTGCTCCACAATCACCCTCACCTATCATCTGGGGCTGGTACAACAGGCCAGAAATGGCCGCAGTACAAGGGACTTAGTCCCACCCCACTAGCAATAAAAAAATAATACATTGACAGTTTTTATTCCTTTTATCAAGAAATATAATTCGATATTTAGGCTGTTCTGCCTAGGTCCTTATTTATTTTATATATATGTTGTAGGAGATCAATAATAAAGCGCAATTTTATTTTCAGAATCCTTGACGAAAACGCAATTGAAGAAATTGGGGAAAATACATTTGCGAATCTGAGAGCACTCCAAACTCTGTAAGAAATTTTATTTTTTGTATCACAAATTAAGACATTAGACATAAATGGTTTATATTCTAAATCCTCGTAGTTGTGTATTGGATCATCGTAACTATTTTACGACCTTGCAGACCTAAGAATTTTGGGTCCAGGAGATTGAAAGCTTTATCAGGTGAATGGGTTCACGGTTCCTGTGAAAGCTTGAGTGTCGAAGTATGATACTTAACAGCTACCTAATCTCTTCATCATAATTTTGCCAAAAGACCTCAGACTATAACTTTAGAGAATATGTAACGTAGATCCAGTTGAAGTAATAGATTACAAAAATTTTGATTGATGTGGGTTCATTTTTAAGGAAGGAAATCTGAACAGTTGTTTCGACCATTTCACCGTATGATCGGAGAGTACCTATAAATATTAATGAACTTCTGCTTGTAATAAAGAATTAAGCAATTGTATCCAGTAACAAAACTTACATTTTCTTATTACCTTATTTATATCTTAAGAACATAAGAACAAATTTCTTCTAGAAATTTCCGGGACGCTGCGATAGTGTACTATAGGCCTATTTGGATATTTATGTCCCGCAGTGATAGACTTCGGGAAAAGGTTTTAATTTAGTCATTTCAAATATTCGTTAAAAAACGCAGCTGTTCTGAGGCACATCTTTCGGACTGATTAATTTCCGAAAAAAAAAATCACAAATTTTATAAATTTCATCGAACGTTATGTTGGAGTGGTTAAATCCTTCGAATCTAGGAGGTCTTGTATTCTGATCTCTTTCCGAAATCTGCTATTCTGATTATTTTTTGCTGATTTTCTTTAGTTTCTTCAGGAAAAATTCTGGAATAGTATTTCAAAATAGATTACAGCCCCTACTTTCCGCATTGCCTTAATTTCATTATTCACGGATTATTCCACCATTGTAAAACTTACGCAAATAAAATCCTGAGAAATGTAGTATGAATGCGTTTATCGAAAAAAAGCATTCAATTTTAATTTAATGGCAAGAGGATTTAATACATGCAATTTTGTTCGAAAATTTCACTATGCTACAAGCCGGAAGGTCGCGGGTTCAAGTCCCGATGAGGTCATTGGATTTTTTCAGTTGACTTAATCCTTCCTGCCGCACTAGGCCCTGGGGTTTACTCAGCCTCTAACAGAAATGAGCACCAGGAATTAATTAAATAATTTTCCTGGGGAGTAAAGCGTGGCCGGCTCTTAAGTCTGACAACCTAACTGCCATCGTTAAGCCGATTGTCTAGATAATGTGGGACCCTCAACGTCTCACAACCCTATGGGCCTTCACGGCCTGGTACAGGGATAGCCTTACTTTTACTTTTTCACTTTTACATATTCAATCACGTAATTTTAATACCTTAAAATTTATTTTTTATTTTGAAATAAAAAGGAGTGTTCTCCTTCTAACGTTAATTTGCGTTCCACGATTTTAGTATAAATTCCAGTCGCCTGTCAGAAGCAACGTTAACTGAATAACGTTTCTTTTCAGAGACCTCAATAAGAACAGTCTCCGGCACATCCACCCTAACGCCTTTGGAAATCTGCACAACCTCCAAGAATTGTAAGTATAATTGAATTTATGTGAGTTAGACGTCATTTGTTGTGCGCTATTTGAATTCAATGTATAAAATATGCTTATAACTGGGATACAATTTTTGTCCTCACGTTTGCTTTCTCATTTTAGAAACTAATGAACAGATTCCTCTCAAACTTGGTACGATAATTCAACAATGAAGCCGGGCGAATTTAATTTTGTTCCATATCAGTCCACTGTATTTTCTATGCTTACATGAAGCCCAAACTGGACTTTCGTTGAAGTACGCGTTTCTGTTTTTGTTTACTTTTGTGCAGTATTTTTGCACTGGATTTCTTCGGTGTCAATTGTTTCTAATTTTTCTCACCAAAAATTTTATTCTTTATTTAATACAAGTCCAGAACTCAAATTGTGTTTACAGGTCAGAACAGATTTAAATAATATTATTATATATGGGTCGTTTCTATAACAATAGAGGAATGTCCGTAAACGTTCTCAAGGCAAGGGACAAGTTAGATAAAGAAGCACTGCTTCTGACTTCTATCTGATAAGTGCCCGAGTCTACTCTTGGCTGGAACACTGATTATTCTGAGGGTTTTCGTGGTTTCCTCAGTCCCTCCTGGCACACATCGAGATAGTACAATAAGCAAGGCCACGATATCTTCTTCTTCTTCCTTTCCCTCTGGCCTGTTTCCCACCAGAATTAACCTGGGACTACGGATCCTTTAGACAGTTGGTAGGGCTCCTTGGACAGGGGATCAGCCCTGTCGCAAGGCCGCTACCTACACAGGACAACACTAACACATTGCCACGTGTATGAGTGACTCTCGACGGGGTTTTGGATTGGATATTGTACTTATTGACCACTTTAACACAAAACTCGTAATTACACTTAATAAAAGCGCCATCGCTAATTTCCACGCTTTATAGCTCAATAGAGCACACGCTAAGTTTTTTGCAGCCCGCGTCAAATTATTCGACGCGTATATAATCTGGGTTAGTAACCGCGTCTTTAAATAAGCTACGAACTCCGAAAGTTACAATGTCGCTTTTCATGAAGCAACATTGGATCACGGTGTTGGAAGCTGAAGGTGCTCTATTTACTTCAATATATTTGGAAATGACGATAAAACGACAGTCTGTCAGTATCTTCGTCAGATCCACAGGCCTTTTAACGTGTCATGTTCACAAAGTCTTTTTCCGCATAAAAATTCATACTTCTAAAAGTCGGTAGATGATTTTTCGCTCCGAATATGTCAATATAACCGCCTCTGTGGTTCAGTGCTCAGAGTTCCTGGTCACAGATCCAGTGATCCCAGCTTCAATTCCCGACACCACCAGATTTTCTGAGAAGTAGTGAGTCTGGAACGGGATCGACTCAGCCTCGTGAGGATAACTGAGAAGCTATTTCAAGGAAATAGGGGCTCCGGTCTAGAAAACCGAGATTAACGGCCTTTGGGATCCGTTGCGCTGACCACGTGAGACCCTCTATCCGCAAAAGTTGGCACTAAATTGCTGACAAGCGGCAGTCGCTCGGTCGGTAAAGTTCGTTTGCGGACTACAGGCCATGGAGTTTATATGTCAATATTCCACGAATATAACAAACATCATAATCATCAAGCGCAGCTTGTGTTTATTTACGATTTAGTAGCAACAGACAAAGCTCATGAAGCACTTCTTGCACGTTTCGAGAGAAAGATTTCAAGACGAATCTGTGGAGCAGTACATTTTGATGGGGTCTGGCGAGGATGTTACAATAAGGAACTGTAAAATTTATTTAATGATGTTGATATTATTAAAAGAATTAAAATAAACAGATCGAAATAGGCAGGACATGTTATAAGGAGAGAATGAAAGAATTATAAAAAGAATAATGCTTGTAAAACCCGAAGGGAAAAAGAAGAAAGGTAGACCAAGAACGAGAAGGATGAATGGTGTGGTGAAGGATTTGAGGAACTTGGGTCTGGTTAACTGGAAAACAAAGGCACAAGAACGGGATGGCTGGAGAAAGTGTTTAGAGAAGGCCGAGACCCACAAATGGTTGTAGTGTCACTAATAATAATAACAATAACATGCAATATTCTGTCAAACCAACAAGGTTCATACCCTATTTCTCACGGTAAACACCTGCTCAACCCCATACACCTTATTGTATTAACAACTAAAAGCTTCCCTGGATGTAAACTGCCTAACTTTCAGCTCAGCTCAGCTCAGCTCAGCTCAGCGTCCATACGTAGCGTATTTATATCAGTGACAATACTTTCAATGTACTCTACTGTTGCTAGGGACATGGCCAACAATCAACTTCAGACGCTGGACCCTACGGTGTTCCACAACTTGACAGCCGTCATGAAACTGTGAGTATAACGCTCATGTCCGAGTGACAGCACGCGTTGCTTCTGTCTGCAACACGCCTGTGTTTCCTGACCACTCTCGTTCCAACGTCCATAGTTAAGTGTTTTGTAAGTGTAATGCCCGTTGGGAATCCTCGTCATTTGTTACATACGCTTTCGCACTATGGACTTCCTCTCATTTCTCCCGTATTCCGTTTGCAGTCCTACACGTGTCGAGGCCGGCGTATAACACAATCTCCCACGAATAACACGAACAAAGAATAAACTATATACCGTCTCCTTTATATAGCATATTACAGTTCGAATGTCGGGGCACGCGGTAGCGTACTTAGTTGAGGCACTATGCTAGTACAAGCCTGGTGGACTCGGGTTGATTCCCGATGAGGTCAATGGATTTTTAAATTTATCTAATTCTTCCAGGCGAACTATGTCTGTGGGGTCGACTCAGCCTCTAACAGAAATGAGTACCAGAGATCTTCCTGGGGGTAAATGACTCCCGGCGCATAAGGCTGACAACCTCACCACCATCTGTGAGCCAATTGTCCAGAAAATGTGGGACCCTCGACGTCTCACAACCCTATGGGCCTCCATGGCCTGTTACAGGGATAGCTTTAATTTTTACACTTCGAATGTCAACAAAATGTTGCCATTTCTCACAGAATACCAATATATAATACACTGAAACAAAAGACTACTCGCGAATCCAGGACATAATACGTAATTTACATTCATGCAACGAGTTGACGCTCCTGGAATCGTTGCTATGGTAACCCGAAACTGCGTAACGACACTGACAAATATGACGCTTCGAAAACATTTTATATACATGGAAGAATATTTTAGCACAATTGCAAAAATTGCTATTTTAGAACTACTTTATTTTCTGGCATCTCGTCTTCTCTTATCCATAAAGAAGTTTTGACTTCTGAATAACATTACTGTATCAGTCTGTCTGTTATGGGGTGTATATACATGTATGATCGGGGGAGTAGCGAGGAAGAGGACACGGAGTTTTGGGGTCGGCTGATGCATCCTTCAGAAATAGAGAAACGGAGATATTTTAATTCTTATAGTGTAAATAATCATATTCAGATGTGCTAGTAGTGATAAGATTTACGAACTATATTACTCGTACTTTACACAGTGTGAGGGTGACAGAGTACCTGTCTTCTGAAACCCGCTAATGAACCGCTAAAGATATTACTCGACATACTCGGCACGTTCGGGTATTTCCGCCAAGCGTTCGATTAAATCGTACAGAGAACAAGCATTGAAAAGAGGCAGAGATATCTATATAAGACGTGAGTGAGAATACCTGTTAAAGAGGCAAATTAAAGTTACTTTTGAAGAAAGACTATATAAACACGTAGTGGCCACTTGGAAGACCAAGGAGCCGACGGAAAGAATCAAAATTAAACCTTAAGATGCTGATGTAGACGGGATTCAACTGAAGAGTTCTAACTTCCGGGATATAACGCCGTGTCTTCTTCTTCTTCTATTCCTGTTACTCCCACTTATAGCATAGGGCATCTGTGAAACGCTCCGTTTCGCTTTGGTTTCTTAATCCTAGACAGTCGGTATGACTCCTTGGGTGGGAGATCAGCCCTTCGCAAATCTGCTATCTAACACAAACACAGAATAAACTCAAACAAAGATCCATACCTTGAGTGGGATTCTAACCCACGACCTCAGCTTTCGAGCGAGCGGAAACATTTGATGCCTTAGACCGCGCGGCCATTGTGGTCGGCTAATGCCGTGTAGTCCACTGAAAATCAAAAGACATTCCGGAGGAACATGTTACCTCCTTCTTCAGGGTCGAAGAACAAGCTACCTGCTTCGTGTTGGTTTCTCACTTGGCTTATTCTTCGGCTGTGAAAATGGAGGCGATATGTTCCCCCGAAACGTTAGCTGATTTTCAACGGACTACACCCCTTTACTTGCTTACACATGAAGCTGAGCCCTTCTTGAGGAGCCGCCAATTCTGCAGCTACTCAAGAATTTCCCAGCATTTTATGGAACCCGAAGGTTCATCACCGTGTTCACAAGAGCCCTCCACTGGTCCCCATCCTGAGCCAGATCTATCCAATCCATACCACCCCATCCATTCCAATATTGTCCACCCCCTACTCCTTGGTCTTCCCTGTGGTCTCCTTCCTCTTAGTTTTCCCACCAATATCCTATACGCATTCCTCGTCTCCCCCATTCGTGCTACATGACCTGCCCACCTCATCTTCCTTGACTTTCATCATTCTAATTATACTTGGATAAGAGTACTAGTTATGAAGCTCCTCATTATGCAGTTTACTCCAACCTCCTACACGCCTTTATATCCCAGAATATATAACACTTTGTAACCAACGCTGTGAGAACCTCAAATCCTGCATTGGATACAATTGGTTTAGAGCAGAGTACAGTGGCGCAGTCTTGTGAGCATGGGAATAAACACTGGCTCCATAAGCAGCAGCGAATGACGACTCTCATCTTTCCAAGAATGGCGCTACTGCGTGTAGTTAGTTAGCTGGCAAATTATGAACAATACAGATAGATACGTCGGTGTGGATTTCATAACGGATTACTAGATAAACCTGGTTGGATAATTTAATCGCTCATCCGTGATGTCTGCAGCCCAGCGCGAACGTGCGCACAGGGAAGGAATCCCTTGCACGTGACTGTAGCCTGAGAGCAAGAGAATTCCAGCGAGGTCTGAGGGACACGTGCTAGATACGAACGGCAGCAGCGCTGACGGTAAGAACATGAGGTGGAAGGTACGCAGTATTTCCAGATAACTCAGAATTACTGCATGAAATCTGCACTGTTTTAAGTTAGTCTTCATGAATTCACTATGAAATTTTCGCGAAATATTGTCACGCATTAGTGGTTTGCGCGACGAATAATAATGAATTTGAATTTGATAGTTTGGTTTATTGGCACTTCTTTATAATTACAGTCAATTATGACAGCTCACACATTGAAATCCTTTTGAACGACATCTCTATGACGAACGCTCTATGAAGAATCTCTCTTTAACAACTTCGGGAGAACCGAACACAGACAGTTCACGTTATTGCATCGAGGCTCCCACATTTTCTAGACAATGTACTCACATATGGCGGTGAGGTTTTTAGCTTTACGCGCTGGCCGGCTACCCTTTAACCCCAGGAAAATTCCTGGTAGCCGAAATACGTACATTACGGAAAATTGTGTACACAAATAGGTCACTAAATTTTATAATTATTGGTTCTTAAGCTCACTACACCTATTTAAGCATTTAAAAGAAAACAAGAGCTAGAACTTCTCAGAATATCTTGTTTTAATAAATCGGCCATTCCCTGGAAGAAGAGGCGACAGCAGATCGTTATTAAAGAAACATATATACAGAACTTTCCCAGGCAAGCAAAGTCAATTACAGAATTTCGGATAATTCTACGTCAAAATTAAATTACTTTTTATGGCTTTTTTTTAGAATTTTGAGACGTAATTAGAATATTTCGGTGAGCGTAATAATACAGACTCATATTTCACCAAATCCTGTCCAAAATTTTGCTCTAAACGAGCGGAAAATCTTAACTATCGTTAGCAAACAAGAGGAATGATTTTCAGTTCTTTTATTTACAAGATTTTGAGGACTACTCTGGCTTCGTGTGCGTCTGAAACTCTGATCTAATCTCGCAGTTACGGAAACATAAAATCCAATCTGTCCGCTGAAAAAAAAAAACAGTTACCAATGCTGTATTTCAGCATCCTGTTTTACCAGCAAACGATTTAATTTGCAGGGGCAGTCTTGAAGGTACAACTTCTTATCGTGTTCATAAACTCCTGGTATGCTACTTTTTAGGGCAGTGATCTAGAAAGAGCAATACAATGCAGTAATTATATAATTACCTGATAATGACCGTATAAAGTCGAAACGTTGGATAGAAGTATCAGTTATAAAAATGTGACAACGTGGGACAAAAAACAATCTACTAGCACGAGAAGAAGTTTAACCTTCAAGACTGATCCTGAAAATTAAATTCTTAAATAATAAAAATTCCTTCTCACTTCATTTTTATTCACTTGCAGGTCCCTTACGAACAACCCACTCAGAGTACTGCCGACACAGCTGTTCAGTAAAATGAAGCATCTAAAATCCTTGTAAGTAACACAACTCCTTCCTTGGGAGATACTGGAATACGTTTATTTTCTGACCTTCTCACTCCCTGAAAGATCCATACAAGTTACGTCCACGTTAGGGGATAACATTCATTTTTACATACGTCAGATGAGTGCTCTGAAATCACCTGATGAAACTTTATCGGCGATGTTTCCATTGTATGATTATTAGAACATCTACATTTAATTAAGTGTCGTTAATTTTAATGGCAGTTTATATTAATAGTCTCCATAGAATTTTATATTTATCTCGCTAAACATTTACATTACAGACATAAATAAAAGTCGTGAAGTATCAATGAATCCAAAGTTGTGTCTTATAAAGTGAAGCATATTACATATGCGTCATCAAAGATGTTATCCAAGATCCTTTCATCTAGAGGATGGGCAGTAGAATTAGACTGTGCAGCCTCCTACATGCAGACAGAATACAGACGTGTTGCGTCCTCGAATGCCATCCATTCTGTGCTGTCTCCATTAGTTCTGCAGGATGCCGGGAAATTATGAAGTAAATGGCGCTGTGGTCTCTCTTTCAGGCAGCTCGGACATATTGAAATAGAGAACGTAGGCGTGGAAATATTCTCCCATCTCGCTGCATTAGATTTTGTGTAAGTAGACTTCTGTTGAATCGAGAGACCTTAGGATATAAATTTTAATTCTAATAAGCCTTTAGCTGATTCTGTGATATTGCAGGTATTTCGGAAAGTTCCATTACTGCACCTATACCCCTGCTGTCAGAATCTGTAGACCGAACACAGATGGTAAGTAAATGCTTTATATGTTTATTTGCGTTTGATTTATTTGATGAAACTGTCAGCAGCTTAGTTCGCATAGCTTCCGATGGCAGGGCGACAAGTTAATTGGTAAGGATGTGAAGGGAAGTAAAATTGGCCTCATCTGAGGTACTTTTCCAGTTATCTGCCTCGAATGAGCAAAAAACGAATACCTAAGTGAAGATAGTCTGTGTCCTGGCCTAGATTTGAACCGCGAACCTTCCAAATACAAGTCAGGAGTGTTACAGCTTGAGCTAACTTTCTGGGGGGGGGGTTAAGTAAATGTAAGGGGACATAGAAATTTCAAATTAAAATTATGTCGAAATAATAAAGACATTTTTAAAACTGTTTATGTACTACACAGTCCGTCAACAATGCAAAAATTTGTTCCTTTTTTCTTTCACTATAACTTTCGACACAACATGTTTCGGCCCTAAATGGCCATCTTCATGTGTCTTACTGTGCTAAAACTGCTACACTGCACTAATATTAGCTCTGGAACCACAATTATTACCTCTTTCGGGCGGCAATAATGTCCTCATGATTACAGCAGTTTTACACTGATTTTACAGCACGCTCAAGTGGTGTCACTGACACTACCTTCAAATCGTTACACATTTACATCTTCCTTTAGGCTTCTTGTGCAGGTAGGTAAATGGTTGATCTGAAATAAAGTTGCAACTCGCCGTGCTTTATAGGCAACCCTTTCTACAGCTTTGTAAGTTCTGTCGTCGAACCATCTGGCTATCAGGCGTTTTGCACTTTCCATCGTCTTTCGTTAATAGTTTTGCCTGTAAACTAAATTCGTGCTTACATTTTCTGAAAGATATTTTTTGTTTTATACACAACCCATAGGCCTTAATATTGCTCAGTTGAAGATGTACAAAGACCTGCACATTATAACATATTTTTCTACACCCTTTATTAATTATTTAACCGCCTCTGTTGTCTAGTGGTCAGAGTTACTGCCTACAGATCCCGAGGTGCGGGTTCGATTCCCGGCGCTACCAGATTTTCTGAGAAGTAGAGGGTCTGGAACGGGGTCCACTCAACCTCGTGATGATAATTGAAGCGCTGTTTCAAGGAAATAGCGGCTCCGGGCTAGAAAACCGAAATTAAAAACTGTGGGGATTCACTGCGCTGATCACGCGACACCCTCTATCCGCTAACGTTGGCACTAACTTCGCCGATAAGCGGCGGTCGCTCGGTCGGTATAGTTCGCTTGCGGACACAAGCCACGGAGTTTGTTAATTATTCACAACAACTCCACTCCAAAAAAGAGAAATATTTTGTAAAATTTGTCGACTCTGTATTAATATTTCTTCACCAATTGTTTTGTACGCCAAAAGTAATTTGTAAAAATGACCAAATTTAACTGGGCCAACATGTACAGTAAATAATATTTGGGGCTAAACAACAAGGGTATGTTAGATAAAGTGTGACTTCATGGTGTGTGTCCTTCGCTTAAAACGTTCAGTATGATGATAAGGGGGTCATTTAGTAACAAAGGGTAAACGACATTTATATACATTCATGTCCGGAGTCCTTTAGGGAGGCTAATTATTTGGGAAACTTAATTATAAGTGTGTGTGGATATAGAAATGAATTTCCGGGAAATAGAGTATGGGGATCTGAACTGAATTTGACTGTCTCAGAATACTGCCAACAGAGGGCTCTAGAGAACACTCTGATGAAGCCAGGGGTCTCATAAAGCAGAGTATGTGTTAATTAAGTGTGAAGTGTTCACAGAAAGACTTGCACCGTAAAGGCGGTATATGCCGAAATTTTGTTTGATTCCGCATGCGCAAGGAGTGTCATCACTGAAGCACCTACTGGTGAAGCCAATCCTGAGGGTGACGGTGTGGGTGGTAGCTGCAGTCACATGTCTCGGCAACGGATTGGTGCTCTGGGGCCGGTTCTCTTCCCGAGACGAGAATCGAGTTCACAGTCTGGTGATCAAGAATCTTGCGGGTAAGTTGTACTCGGGTCCAGACAACAAATCTTACAGTCTGGCGATCAGCAGTCTAGTGGCTATGAGGCGTCTATCTATCTATCTATCCATCCATTCATCCATCCATCCATCCATAGAAAACATTGTCTTCCAACAATTCGTAGGGATGTTTACCGCTCCGTTGCCTAGAAACGGACGTCCTACTGTTGCACGGTTCCAGGGCTGTTTCGCCAGTGATGATTATGGTGATGATACTTATAATATTGGTTTCCGCAGTTTCAGATTTGTTAATGGCGTTTTATCTACTGGTGATTGGGATCCAGGACTGTCAGTTCCGAGGCAACTATCACAAGGAGGCTCACAAGTGGATGTCATCTTGGGGATGCACGCTCATCGGTATGGTCGCAATGACGTCATCAGAAGTGAGTCTCAGCCTCGAATTTTGGAACCATAAACGGATTCAATAAAAAAATCAAACTTCAAAGTCGCTAACCATTTTTCGTAGCTTATATTACCTCTCCCCTTTTTCTTTAACTTAATTAATTTTTACTCTCTCAATGGCTCTACAGCCCTTGCGGACCTTGGCCGCTTTTTCAGTTTCTTAGTCCTATACAGAGACGATAGGGCCCCTTGGATGGAGAATCAGCCCGTTGCAAGACCGCTACGTACCTATAGGATAACACAAACATAGAATAAATGTACAGAGACATCCATGCCTGGAGTGGGATTCGAACCCACGATCGCAGTGTTCTAGCGGGCGAAAGCGGTCCATGCTTGAGACCGCGCGGCCACTGTCATCAGCAACTCAATTAAGATAAAATAAAAACATGGCAATGGACAGTGTCCAAGAACACAATATTTCTAAGCTCAAATTTGTTTAGCTACATTGTATAGTGTATATGCTCAATTTACAGAATATTCACGGCCTCCGTCTGTCTCAGAATTTGACTAACATAATTTAAACATTCGCGCTCCACCACTGAGAGTGGTAACATTCTACACTTATCTGATTTGAATGTCAACATAGGTACTAAGATGTTTCGTAATTTTTATCAGTCCGTGTAGCCAGGTTCGGGTTGCTTAACTGAAATAGGCTACGACCGCCTCCTTTTTAGAATCTTCCCATCTCAATATACGATCTCATCTGAATGAGCATCGTTAAATAGCCCGTGCATGATTCAGTCTTGTGGGTTTTGTGGTCTCAATATGAAGATTACTCTTCCGTAGGAAAGTGGCCCTGTATAGCCTGATATAAATTTGTCGACATTTCGGAGGAACGTAATGCCTTAAGTTTCATCGTTTAAGAACAGACTTGGTGAAGGAAAAGTTAATGTTGAAAAAAAGGAAAGAAATGCGATTCTGCTTTCCTATATCCACGCAAGGTCTCCCTTCGGTCGGTTTACTCTTCAACCGAGGACGTAGAGTGAGCGCGTTCCTCCGAAATGTCCGTAAGCTTCTACTAGACTGCACAGCGTCACGCCTCAGCATTCATTCTTGTCGGGTCTTGTTACTGTAGACTGAAGCTTTTCGTCCGTGGCTTGCAACTCACAGGTGTCAGTTCTGATACTGGTGTTCCTGTCTATGGAGCGATTTCTGCTGATTGCCGTTCCTTTCGGGGGGCACCAGAGCATGTCCACGAGAACAACAAGTCTCAGTCTGACAATCATCTGGACGGTGGGGTTCTGCCTTGCTTCAATACCAGGTAACAGCCTTTGCCGCTTCCAGCTTATTGGTTACTGTACTGAGGTGGGGGACAGACATCTTGTCAAATTACTGGGTAGCCCAAGAGGTGTACAAAAGGTTTAGTGTTACCTTCATTATTAGGTAAAGGTAAAGCTATCCCTGTAACAGACCATGGAGGCCCATAGGGTTGTGAGATGTTGAGGCTCCCACATTATCTTTATACTTGCGGCTCACAGATGGCGGTAAAGTTGTTGGACCTACGCGCCGGCCGCCATTTATCCCCAAGGAAGATTCCGGTGGATTTTTTAAATTTACCTAATCCTTCCAGCCGCACTATGGCCCGGGGGTCGACTCAGCCTCTAACAGAAATGAGTACCTTCATCACTACCAATACATAAATAAGAAGTTCTGGGAAGAAGTATTAGCCTACTTTCTTCTGATACGACATGGACCGCATAGAAAACGACGCCTCCAACAGTTCAATTGTGGCATGTCTGTTCGTTGCTTCAGTAACGTTGTAACCGAGCAATTGTCTAGCTAGTATAGAGAGACGCTGTATATTTGACGCTGCAAACTGTTTGGATGCTGTTGATATAACGCTGTCAACGGTTTCAGTGATGTTGCTTTAACGCTACGAATTGTTTCAGTACTGTACTGGAAGAACACTACGCGGTTCTACGGCACGAATGGCATGTGTTTCCCACTGCATATTGACGACCCATTCTTCATGGGCTGGCAGTATTCGGCTTTCATATTCCTGGGAGTCAACTTTTCTGGGTAAGCAACATACCTTCATAGCACACTAGCGAGGAGAAGAGCTTTGGAGGCCTGACGAATATTACTGTGAAATGTTGCTCTTGTAGACATTGTTCCCGTAAGGAATTAGGTCAAAGTTTATAAAAACAATGTACGCTCATAGTATATAGACTATACATACTATAAATTCAACAACAGACAATTAAAGACTATCAAAAATACAGTAAATGATCTAGCAAAAAAGAAACGCAAAAATATAATTTGGGAATATGTTGGCGCTACGTAGAACTATGTTCATCAATTAGGACTAGCTTCATGTAATGATGGTGTCATATTATTATGTTATTTTTTTGGTGGAGTAAGGTGGAGTCCCTTGGTGCCACGGCCCGCAAATGGATGTATCGCACCTGACTCGAATTATAGATGAGACAATGGAAAGAAAATTGGTAGGAGAAAACCAATTCCACTGTCAATATATCCAACAAAATCTCACATGGACTGCCCTGGGATAAAACCAAGGTCTCCGCAGCTTAAACTGGCACGATCAAGGAATAATTTTATCAAACTGTCCTCACAGATTAGATAAGTAAGCCCATCCTCTTCCGCATATACAAGGAGGCAGACCCAGACGTGTGTATAGCCTACGTCTTTATTTAGAACACAGGCAACGCCCAAAGAATATAATGGTACGGTATTCCTTTCCAAATATCTTATCTTCCCGCAACAGACTGGTGCTCATAGCAGTTCTGTACACGTGGATGTTTGTCAGCATCTGGAAGACGCGCCATGCCACTCCTCTCTCTTCCGTCGGGGACTTCGAGTTTGTCATTAGGTTCTTCTTCATCGTTTTGACGGACGCCGGCTGCTGGGCCCCCATCATCGTACTGAAACTGATCGCCCTGAGCAGGGTCCACATCCCAGGTGAGTGCGCAGGCGTCTGGATCATCCAGAATGCAGTAAGTCTACTTTCAAATGGTGCTGCACAAATCTTAAATACTGTCGTTACTAATATTGTCGCGTATATTAGTGACTACAGGCGGTGTTTGGATTGGTTTTATTGTCCGCTTATCTGTCGTAACTACAAATAACTGTGACAGCATTGCTGATTTCCATACTACAAATCACTCACGCTAAGTCTTCTCAGTCTATTTTTAAAATTCCTGAAGAAATATTTTCCTTTTCCAGCTGATTTGTACGCATGGGTAGTGGTGTTCATTTTGCCCGTCAACTCGGCAGTCAACCCTCTACTCTACACTTTCACGACGCCTAAATACCGCGGACAGCTCTTCAAGTTCGGCTGGCCTCGAGAATCACAGAAAGGACTGGTGACTCGCCTACAGTCCACTGCAGGTTACGGCAGTTCGATATCATTAGACACTGTTTAGGACTGAAATGAATCTGCATCAGAGTTGTGCCGCCAAGCGTCCCTGGTGCTCGAGTACCCTCTCCTGGACTTCATGATATGTTTGCTGCACACTTTGACACGTTTCTTCGTTCCTGTGGCTGCTTTACAGACGATAAAAGCTGCACATTGCCTTCAATACTGTGGCCTTCTAGGATACGTAACGTGACGTGACGTGATTTAGTAAATGGGTACAGACGTTTCGGAATAATTGCTGTCACCATCTTCAGGGTCTGAATATGGTGACAGCAGATGCTCCGAAACGTTTGTGGCTATCTACCAAACTGCAAGAAGTTACACATCCCAATAGGCTGTAATCTTAATACTCACCGCCTTGAGGTACTCATTTCTTTTGAAACGACTTCGTAAATCTCATTTTATGAAATATAAAACCTGGATTTAAAAAGTCGATGATAGCCTGTATGTGGGTAATTATATTCTTCAGTATTCGGACAAGTCAATATTAAAATTGCTCCTGTTCCTTTTCCTGAAGACGTATGGGGAAGTGGAGACAACATACCACATATTCCTATACTCGAAACTAGACGGAAATGGAAACAATACATAATATGAAAATTGTATCTGATCCAAAAAAAAATACATAAAATCTATGATTCATTAAATTGCGCGTGGATTCAGGCTTGATTAGGCACAACGTATGCAGACTTGTGGCATTAGGTTCTGATGACTCGCCATCTTTAGTCTAGGGACTTTGACAAACCTTGTCTAAGAAACAACTTCGTTTCAGCTTCAAGCGAGTAAACACGGCAAAGATTTAGAATATGGGACCGAAACATATCTGAGGTGAGCGTATATCTGAAAACGATGCAATATTAAACGATTGTGTTTCCCCTTTCCCCGCCCCGGTTATAGGCTTGCATTCTCTACAGCAGAGAATAACGGTTTATAAGGGCCTATGTTAGTATTTACGTCTTTCATCTTGAGCCTTTGTAATACTCCACAAATGAACAATATAGTGAGCGTTATATCTGACTTTCTTATTAAGATATAACGACAAAATATCGTTCTGAAACTCACTGCTTCAAGGCCTGGGTGAAATTTGAATCACCTCGTTAATCAGCAGATCGAAATACAAAGCTTCAAATCTTTATTGTAGAATCCACCGATATTACTTTAAATATATATTTACCTATGACGTATCCCTTTTATTTAAAGGCGATTCATATATATATAGTACCTGTATATATATATTTATATATATACAGCGTAGCGGCCTCCATAGTCTAGGGGTAACGTTCCCACCTCATGACTCAAGGTACGCGGGTTCAAACCCGGCGGATGTCGTGGAATATTTAAGGGCGGAAAAATTCAAGGAACAAGTCCTCCGGGAGGGACTTTAAGCCTTGGGTCCCGTGTCGTAGCTTTACGGCACGCAAAAGAACCTCATATCTCCAAAGGAGGCCTCTGAGCCAAATTATTAAGGACATTTCCCACCCAACAGTAGTCTCTAACGCCTCTGGTAGATGGGGGAAGCATCTAGATACCGCTGAGCCAGTAGAGGCCGAACTCGCTGGCTGAGTCGGGACTGATGGCACGCACCAGTATCGGTAGGATATAGAGACTGGTAGAATATCACAGGGGGACGTACAATAGACCACTGGTCGCGGTGCATGGGGAAACCCACCCCCTCCAATAATAATAAAATACAGCGTGGGCAGAAACGTCTTGAGTGTTGATAATATGCCAGCAGAGTGGATAAAATCTTTGGATTTTATGTTCTCGCAACCTCGACTATGAAGATTGCTACCTTCTGAAATATGACGCCATACTGTCTGGTAGAAATTCACAGGAGTTTCGGGGGGTTATACTCGCGTTATCCACCTGAACGCGTTTAAAGAATTTGTGTCTTCGGAATTTGTTCTGATACTGGTTATTAAGATATTCTCCAAGATCAGACAGAGACATGCATATTCTTTTAAGGTCACGCATTTCTTCTCTTGGCTGGAAACCGAATTTATGGATCTTGTGAAGCTGAATTTTTCTGTTTTGCGTTATTGGAGTTATGGAGTTAAATTTAATTTTAAAAGTCCTGTCCATATTATTGACATTCAGGTTCTGTTACCCTGAAATTTTAAGAATGTTTCAATTAAAGGCAAAGCAATCTTTTAAAATTTTTTATTGAATTGAATGATATATGTAAATCTATATTTGTCGTTGAAATACACAATTTCCTTCCTGAACACATCATCTTGCAAAAAAATTATGAATTCATGGACAATTCAAATTTGTAGAAATAAAAAATGGGAGGTGTCCCTGTGCCTAACTGATTAAACACCACGCAGTTAAGATGTATAAGGGAGCAGAGGTTTAGCTCCACCACTTTTAACCTTGATAGCATATGAGTGGTCGGTTTCGCGAGCCTGCCGCTCCCGGGGGTTTAGTCAGGAGGCTGTTTGGGCCCCAAAGCCGGGATAGACGCTGTGAAGAAGAGTTACGAGTAAATATCGTTCTTACGGGAAATCGATTTCTAATTCCTTTGTCACCGTGCCATAGCCCGTCGCTGCACCGTTTCAGACATACAGATTTGGAAATATTCAATATATTGTCAACGTCATTATCTTCCGTCACTTCGTGCATTATTTTCTCTCTTTTCTGTGGTGTTATTCTACGACTCTGCCGGTATCTCAGGACCGCTTCTATGGTCTAGTGGTGTTAGTTCCTGGCTACAGATACAGATGACCCGGGTTCGATTCCCGGCGCTACCAAATTTTCTGAGAAGTAGTTGGTCTGGAACGGGGTCTACTCAGCCTCGTGAGGATAACTGAGGAGCTCTTTCAAGGAAATAGTGGCTCCGGTCTAGAAAACCGAGATTAACGACCGTGGGGATCCTTTGCGCTGACAACGCGACACCATCTATCCGCTAAAGTTGGCATTAACTTCGCCGACAAACGGCGGTCGCTCGATCGGCTACAGACCACGTTGTTTGGTTTGTTTATCAGTAGCCAGACTGTATGAGGTCCTTTCTATTCTGTCCACCAGATCGGAGTTCTATTGCCTTGCTCGAATGTATACTAATTCCGATGATGAAACTGGCGCAAGTTACCAGGTTTCAATCTCGTCCTCCTTGTGAGCACCCGAAGTCTGAGTTGAGGGTTACGCCCGTCTGTATTGTGTTCGGCAGATACAGGATGTTCTAGCTCGTCGTCGACCCGCATCATGGTACAGAAGAAGGACGCTGAGAGTAATCTGTACTCCATGCTGCCACTGATGGCCGGTTGCAGTCAGCTCCAGGCCCGCGCCAACAACAGACTTCACTCCACTTGAACTGGTGTGGCTTCAAACCTTGTCTAACTACGCTTCAGATGGGTTATATAAAGTGTCGCACCTTAAGCCTTGCGGGCTTCTGGTCTATTCCAAGTCAGCCAGCGCTTTTTGCAAAACATCTGTGGTGGAAGATCCCTTGTAATGCCCATAACTCTGAATGGTATCTCATGTATCAGGACTTCAAATCTCGTGACAAACTAAACGACTCATTCGTGACTCTGAAGTTTTAAAAAGTATTTATTATGTTACTGATCTGTAGCATAAATTTTTAGAACTTATTTATTGTCGTTCAGTTATTTGTGAAGTTAGCTGGCCACTAAATTTGAATACAACATCATAACTTAAACTGTATTAATTTATTCAGAAGTATTGTAACCTACTTGGTTATCTCTAAGCACTTAAACCACTTTTGCTTCTGTTCATCTTGCCAGTCTATGTCTGACATGAAGAGAAACAGATGGACAGTTATAGGTAATATATGGTTATTGGGCCTAGTGTAAAGACAAGTAAAACAAAAAATCCACGAAAGTATTATCAATATAGAGCTATTAATGTAAATGTAAAAATGAGAATTACTAATTATCCGGTGATAAAAATTTAGCACCTTGAATTTCAGGTCGCTAATTAGCAAAATAATGACACTCAATGCATCCGATGGCCATATTTCCAAGGCCTGTCATTTGTGTACTTAAACATACGAAACAACTTAGTAAGAAACATAGTCATTCATGTTTGTATACATACAGAATGTTCCACAGATTGCTATGGTATAAGTCATAGCGTAGGTAAGGAAATGCTTCGTCAAGGAACCAATCATCTCTTATTGTGTCTGTCATTTTCCTATGTGGCACTAATCACACTGATATTTCGGAAATAAAACCTTGAGCGAGGTACAAGCATCAGCACGAAGTAGAATGGTGTCCTGGACACAACATGAGCACACCACACTTGCTAACACATCCTGCATAGAAGTGCAGACAGCACTGAAATTTATGTCACACGATACGATAAGCGGATTTGAGTTTCAGTGATCGTGGTGGTCAGGCTACAGACGTGTCTGTATCTCGACGGATCCAACGTAGTTCTTTGTAGGAAATACCAGGCACTACAAGACATTTATATTCAAATTTTGACAGCGTTCTCTTCCTACATTATTGCTTGCGCATTTCACAAAATAACATATACTACGAAAACAAATATGTAACATGTAGTTCCCTTTGATTCGGCAATGCACCCTTCTCATATAACTGAGCAAAAAATTAATTACCTTTATTTCAAAAGCACTGACCGTATGTGCGTGTGCCTTCATGCCCTTCAACTTAACATATACACGGTGTATGTATTACATAATACACGTAAAAATGAACTTGTCCCTGGGCCTAAAGACTGCGTCATGAAGACATATGGCCTATGCACACAAAATTCTTATCATTCAAAACATCAACTCTAAATGGAGGTAAATGGCAACCTTAACGTTCCGGCCGTTTTAATACTTTAGGAGAAAGTCAAGTAGTTCTGTTCACTGGATGGGAGGCTGGGTGGACCCACAAGCCGTCCGTCCACCTCTCGGGCAGTCATTTTATTTGCTGAGTTATCCTGGCTCACATGCATATGAACACTTACACACTGCCTAAATTATGTGTATTAATGTATACAAGGATAGTCCTAGTATTTTGTATTCTACTATATGCAAATACATAAAACAGATCTACTTATTTGTTTCATTAAACAGCTTTACAACAATTTTCATTTAAACTACGAGTGAGTTCAAGACGAGCCTGGTAGGTGGAACAGTTTAACCAGTTTGTAGTGGATTGTGGTTAAGAAGAATAATTCCGTATGAAGCAGACTCCAAGCTAGCATCTGTTTTCAATCTAGGAGTAAGATTGTATTTAATCAGATATGGGAATGAATGAACTACAGTTCTGGCTGAGGGAAACAAATATATAAGTCATTCAGGGTCAGTGTTGTAAATTTGTGTGTCATATTACTGTTACCAACTTATGTTTATACGTGCAAAATGTCTATATTTACGTAAATATAAGTTCGACTTATGCAAACCAGATTACATATGTGTATGTCTTTGTACCATTGTAATCTAATTTATCATATGAAATTCCATTACTAATTTTTACCAAAAATATAAACTAAACTTACTTCCGTACATGATATTGACGCGAACTATAAATTATATGTATAAGAGGTTTTCATTATATACAAATAAGTAAATATTAACGTTTCCAATGGAAAGTTCAAGTGGTATATCCTATAAAGCATGTTTTGTGTTAGTTGATATATATAAAATAAATATTCATGAAATAATTTTTAATGCGTATTTCATCAGGCATTTTCTCCCAAACTTTCGTCATATTTGCATAAAGACCTAGTCCAAAATACAGGAAAAACTTTCGCAGCTTGTAACTGTATGTAACACTGGATGCCAGGCATTAACTAAAACTGATAAAGGAAAATTTCTTTAAATATTTATGGTCTGATTAATGAAAATGTTTTATGATGAACCAAATACATGTTTGAATTATATATCAGCTACAGGACGGGGCAGCCCCTCTCCAGAACCAAATTAATCCAGGACAAAATATATAACTTTAAGATTCATTTTAGTATTAGCCTCCCATCATCATAATCATCATCATCACCATCATTGGTAAAACAGCCCTTTCTGAGCAATAGTCTTCCTTAAAAGAACTGGATTTCGCAACAGTAATTTCTTTACAGAGCAAGGTCGTCAGCCTTGCGTCCAACTCCCAACCTGGAGGTCCAGGTCTCTGTATTTATGTCCCCCAGTGACAGGGTGACCCAGTTATACCCCCAGGCACCGGGTTCCCTTTTCACCTCTTACTACAACTCGCAAGGCTACGGTGGAGATATTCTAAACCACCCCCCACGCTGGGAAATTACCCTCCGATGTATCCCTAAATATCTCCTATCGAATTCAGGTATCCGCCCAATGCTCTATATGCATTTCTCTGGTCTAACGTGCACTAAATGCCTTGTCCATCTCATGCTCTTTCGTTGAACCATCCTAATAATATTCCCCGAGAATTAAAAATTATGTAATTTTCTCAATTACCTTACAACTTTCTCCCATATACGTGTAGTTCCAAACACTTTCCTTAGAATCTGGGGATCCAGGAAAAGAACCCAGTCTTTTTTCTGTTCCTTAAAGGAAGTAATAGAATGAAATGATCCTTACGTAAGCGGATCCGTCGTTCAAATACAGGATCTGAAGCAAATGCTTGTATTCTGATCCACTCATGTACGATAAACAAAGTTCACATATTTCCTGCAATTCACAGCTAGCGTAACAAGTACTATACCTCTTCATTTTTGTAGGGTGTATGAATTTACAAAAAAAGACTGTGATTTGTAACCAAATCTGAGTTTTGAAAACAGTGAATTAACTTGAATACCAAAACTGATTCCGGTTGGTGCTCGTTAATATCAATCAGGATGTTTATGCAACTCAAAGTACAATCGCGTAGTAAGAGTTACCTAGTCTATGGGGCATTCTGAATACAGAAGCAGTAACAGAAATCTGATCGTGAACTATTTCGTAGAAAATATGTTGTGGCATGTAGAACCGTTGCTAGGCAACGGCCGCAAACAACTAGACAACGGCCGGTACTAGAAAAGGGCCCGTAAACACAAACAGAGGAAGGGTGTTTTCTGTGCGGTCCGTGCCGAGATGTTATGGGTCCCTAACGAGATATTATAAGCAGGAGAGTTAGTGAGGAGTAAGTTTAGTCATATTTGAGTCAATTGAGTTGATTTGATTTAGTTGGTGAGTGACTGAGTTAGTCGGTCAGTCAGTCAGTTTGTTAGAGAGCTGCTGAAGACTTGGATTTTGTTATAGTGCCATGTTTGAGGTTCTTAGCAGTTGTCCATCTTCAAAGAATAAGAACATCGAAAGAACTCAATTGTTGAACCGGCCACGTCAGAAATACTGAGAAGTGTATTGACTGAAATCACTTTCCGGCTAGACATCTATCACGCCATGACAGGGGCGCACGTGGAAATTTACGGAGGGAAATACTTTAAATCAGAAATAGCATAGGGACAACGCGAAATTGTGAGGTGGGTGCGACGGCAGCGCCATTTAATTTAGGGTACTGAAGTATAGCAATAGAATTTAAAAAATAAGTTACTTTTGTCAAGATAATATTTTTATAGAATGTAAAATAAAACAAGTCGGCAGCCACCTGCTCAAGCTGGTTCCTCTCTCGTGGATTTTTCTACCCTGAAGATGGAGGTGATACGTTCTTCCGAAACGTCGGTTCACACAAAAACTACACGGCGCCACTTCCCGGAAGATGGAATTTTTAATAAATAATTATATTTTTTGGCATGTAACGCCGTGTATTCTGGCGAAATTGAAAGGAATATATCGCCTCCATCTTCAGGGTAAAAATTTCGGCCAAGAAGGAAAGGAGAATGAAGCAGGCAATAAACAGATGGCAGCAGCGCGCAGTGAGTGCTGTGTTTAATGACCCTGCCTCTGTGAAGAGTGGCTCACGTTGACAGAGCAGCCATTTTCTGAAATGTCACGAGCTTTATCCGATTTACTTCTCGCAGAAGTTCTTCGCTAAGTTTTTCGTCACTGTATCACTGTGGAGCTTATTTTAGTTTTCATGCAACTGATTTTGTTGTTACGTTTGTAAGTGAATGACCGCTGAGCATAGAGTTTCGCCATTAATCTGTTCTTATGGGGAATTCGAAACAGCTTAGTATGGCTTCTGGGTTCTGTTAACGATTTTACTGCACTGCACTGCACTGCACTGCTTGTTTTATTCCCAGATCATGACTATACCTAGAAATTGTAGCATGTATTCTATATGATCCAAGATGGCATAAAAACATAATTATCCGTGATTTTTACGTAGCTACTTTTAAGTGGGGAAATTGCAGTAAAATTCGTCAGTTAATATCCTTTCGGTTTTCTGGCTTTCGGTAGGTAAAGACAAAACAGAAACAAACTCCGTGGCCTGTAGTCCGCAAGCGAACTATACCGATCGAGCGACCGTGGCTTGTCGGCGAAGTTAGTGCCAAATTTAGCGGTCAGAGGCTGTCGCGAGGTGAGCTCAACGTTAATCTCGATTATCTAGACCGGAGCCGCTATTTCCTTGAAATAGTTCCCCAGTCATTCTCACGAAGCTGAGTCGTTAATCTCAGTTTTCTAGAGCGGAGCCGTTATTTTCTTGAAGTAGTTCCCCAGTCATCCTCGCGAAGCTGAGTGGACCCCGTTCCAGACCCACTACTTATCAGAAAATATGGTAGCGCCGGGAATTGAACCCGGAACCTCTGGATCTGTAGCCAGGAACTCTGACCACTAGAACACAGAGGAGGTCACGGTGGGTAAAGACTTCATTGAAGTTTTCAGAACCGCCAGATTTTCTTTCGTGATTTGATTTAGAAACTAAAATTGATTACTCCCATTTATGGTTAATACTGAGCTAGTATTCGGAAAGTCTTAGGGTGAAGAAATATAATGGATATACGTGTTCTTACGTATGTGTATGTGTGTTTCTGCCTATGTATGTATGTATGTACGCATGCGTGCATGGAGTTCACACATCGATCTTAAATGAAAGCAAAATCATTCAATCATCGCATCACTTCTCGACTAATTTGATTAGGGACAACTTCTCTGATTCTACGTTTCTTTTTCATTCCACTCACGATTGGCTGTAGCAGGCGAGTTTCCTCTTCTAGTGGGCTGATATTCGAGCCGAAAGAAGCGTGTGGAAATACGAAACCGTACGGTACAGTTGACTGGAATCTCACTTCACATCGGTGAGCGTGAAGGACAGTTCTGAGTGGCTGAAGCTTCACGATTCGAATTGTGATGACAGTTCACGTGTGGCCAGCTGAGAGTGTGAAATGCATATCACTGCAAATCAGTACCGATGGCACTCGGAGCGGTGCCTCGTCAAGATCTTCGTACGTTCTTCTTTGTCCTTCTCCATAAGGACTAGCTTCTTCCTTTCTGAAATTAACAAAAAATATATCGGTCCGTCAGTGTTCCCCCTCCACAACCATCGCCCCACTAACTAAAATACTGTGGACTGCAGCCTAAAAGCCGGAATATCTGAGTCAGAGAAGGCGTCCATTGCTAGAAAACGGCCCTGTTATCACGGTCCTGAATCGTTGCCTGGGTGACAAACACGTCACGCGACAGCGCATACTGTGACGAATGGCCTGAAAGCCACAAACTGCGCATCTGCTGGGCGGAGTTTCGCGGGGCGCGTTCCCATAGTAACGCGAAATACACCGTTACACTGGGTTTTGATGGAGCTATTGGAGACATATCCACGGTAACGACATTCTAAACAGACTGTTACCATGGCCATGACAAAGGGAAATCTTCAAGGAGGTGATTCCTATCCTATCCGCCTGGCAGGAATAAAGGGAGAGCAGTTGAGAGGCCGTCAGTTCAGAACTGAATATCAGAACTGAAGTGAAAGGAGAGTCCAGAAGACCAGAGGTGCAAGACGCAGACAACAGTGAGGAATTCAGTATCCAGAAACAGCTGATTGTGTGAATTATTGAAACCGAGTGTGAATGTGTCAGTAACCTCCAACAGACCTAACGACCAAAACTAAGAATCCACAATTTTTTTTTCGCGCTACATCCTATACGTGACAATTTGGTAACAGAAAGTGGTGACGGCCTTAAACACGCCACAATACTTTTCTTATAACATTATATATATATATTTTTTTTTTGACAACGAAACTAACCTACACGGCGTCACAACCCTGAAAACCATATCCTACAGTTGAAATTCACGTTTCAGCTACTGCTGGGAAACATCGATCAAAGTACTTACTTACATCATCCTGTTAACAAGAGCTGGAAATTCAGACTATAGAAACAAAGGAAGATATTCTTCTCACGGGACCAGTTTCTTGTGCTGTGGGAACTTACGCTCTGTTCCTGTTTTTCTTCTTCTGGTGTCTGCAGGTATTCAGTGAAAGTTCTTCCAAATAAGTGAATCGAGTAATAAGGAGTTATTTTCCTTGAGGCTATTATTTGCTTCCAGATGTTTATTTTCTTCATGTTGTAGGGTTGCATAGCTACTGCAAGTCTCGGCGGATTTGAATTACAGTTGCAGGCTGAAGAAACTTATAATGTCATTAGCCTACTTTATATCTTCCTGTACTTTCAATAGACTCTACTATTTGAACTCTAATATATTGTGCTAGATGGCATCACTCACGAACATTAGACACTCTTCTTCCAGTAAGCGCTTCTGACTCCCTTTTTGGTATATTCCCAAGTCCATACATGTCACTAATGAGCCTGGGCTTTGAAGCAATACTTTTTTAACTTTCAAGGTCAGATGCTGCTTTTGAAGGTTCCAAAATAATTAAAGTGTTACTTGCAAACAGTCGAAATATAAGTATCAAATTATTTTCAGTGTACAGTCCATTTGTCTTCAGCAGGCCGCCATTATGCTAGGGCAAATATCTGTCCTAAAAATGACTTTAAAAAAGTTTAGATGACAGGTGGACATAAGTTTCCACACCCCAACACTCTCAAGGCATGGTTACTATTTTTTTTTCAGCTATGTGTTAATTTCGAAATGCTGAAATTGAAATTTTAAACAAGCCTCAGAAGATGAAACAAACAGTGTTACATAAAAGGGGAAGCTACCCCTGTAACAGGACGTCGAGGCACATAGGTTATAACACGTCGAGGTTCCCACATTTTCTAGACAATCGGCTTAGAGATGGCGGTGAGGTTGTCAGTCTTACGCGCCGGCCGTCCTTTACTCCCAGGAAGATTCCTGGTACTCATTTCTGATAGAATCTGAGTCAACCCCAGTGACATAGTGCGGTTGGAAGGATTAGGTCAATTGAAAAAATCCAATGACCTCATCGCAAATCGAACCTTCCGGCTTATAACATAGTGCCTCAACCAACTGCCTTAAACATTACTAGATACATAAGTAAAATGCTGTTTACTGGTTTAGTTAACTGGGATCCAGAGTATTGGTTAATTACACAATTGAGTTGGAGTGCTTTGGTTTAGTTACACATTTGAGGTGCTGTGCATTGTTCCAGTTGCACAACTAAGGTCAGTGTGTTACTGTAATTTCACAACTGAGGTGAAGTACATTGGTTTAGTTACAAAACTGATATGTAGCCCATTGGTTTAGTATTGAGTGCAGCGAACATGAGGCAATTGTGTGTTTTCACTCTGCCCAAAAAAAAAAAAACAAAGTGGAAGAGAGAGAAAATAAATCTTCAACATTTTACTCTATTTTGTCTTTTAATTGTGCTGTGGAATCCGGCTAATGAGTGTAGAATAACCCTCAAGCCGTTATCTCAAAATCTGTATGGATGGCCGAAAATTGTATATAACTATATAATAAATCAACCTACTGCGGAATTGCCCTAACAATACTGCAGAATTACCTGCAGTACATAACAACTGTTACGCCTCATATATAGACCATGTATCTTAATTAACTCTCTCGCTGATTCAGTAATTATTTTAATGAAGCTCCATTCTTTGAAACAGCGCCACGATATTAGTTGAAAAGTTAAAAATAACTTGCGTGCTTAGCTCATTTATCCTTGTTACTGCGAAGTTAGCTGAGTTTACCCTATCTTGTGGAATTTAGACAAAGAAGAGAAACAACATTTTGGACGACCTGTACCTGACCTGGTGTGCCCATCCTGGCACCCCTTCGACAGAACCTCTTCTTCAAGTCACGCATATCCATGCGTGTTTCGTGCATTCAAGTGCTGGACAACAGAGCTGCAAGATGCTTCATTTGTTGCATCACGCAAACAAACAGCCGGAAATTATTGACTGTGCTAAACGTCTTGACACTGATGTAAGAGTTGATTACGTATAAAACTGTTGCACATTATTAGGGCCTGCCAACCCCCATGTGGTCCTGTCTGATCTTGAAGGCTCGGTTTCAGACCTGGCCTACAGCAGAAACAGTGGCGAGTATCATGGCCGCATTAAATATCAGACAATTTGTAAGGTGACAGTTACTACGTTCGTCACTGTTGATTACGTCGTGAGATTTAAGCCAATCAGTCGTCTTTGGTTATTGGCAGAGTCCTGCCAGAGGTAAGCTACGAGCACACAAAACAGTAATAAGGCCTGTTGCTACGTACGGGGCAGAAACATGGACCTTAACAGTAACAGAAAAGTAACTGAGAAGGTTCGAGAGAAAAACAATACGCAAAATATACGGACCAGTGATGGAAAATGATATATGGAGGATAAGATAGTGTGAAGAGATAAACACATTACTGAAAGCAGAAGATACAGTAAGATTTATCAAGTCACAGAGAATAGGATGATTGGGGCATGTCGAAAGAATGGAAGAGAATGCAATGCCAAAGAGAATGTTAAAAGGAAGACTATATTCCAAAAGAAGAAAAGGAAGACCCAGGATGAGATGGCCAGACGATGTTGAGAATGAGCTGAAGAAAATGAAGGTGAAAGGATGGATAGAGAAGGTGAGGAATAGAGCAGTGGAGACTGGTTGTACAGGAGGCCATGGCTCATCCAGGGCTGTAGCGCCGAGTGGTATGTAGGTAGCTAGAATACTCCAGAAGGCAAAACAGGGCGCGAAAATCGTCCATTATCATCGAAATATGTCTGTCTGTCTACCCGTCCATCTGTACGCATGAAACAACTCGGTTCCTATTGGATCGATTTTCGTGAAATTTAATATTGGAGAGAGTTAGTAAAATACGTCACTATAATTCAATTTAAATTTAAATCGGACAAAAATAACAGACATTTTACACGAAGATGCAAATGCGTACTAAGGCATACTCTCAAAAGTTGCGAAAACCACTGATTAGCTTCGTCATGTCTTTCTGTCCGTGCCCACAACATCTGTTGCCCAAGGCACACTGATATCTACGGCACATAGCACGTGATATGCCACAGAGCTCAGATTTTGGAATCCCCTCCCCCCCAGATCTATACAACACATCGTTTTCTGTTGCTCCACACAGCCTTAGCTGTGTGCCTGTGAGTGTCTGTAAGTGCCTACGTGTATGTGTGTGTCAGTACAGCAATACCTTACATAGTCCGGCTTCGATCAGTCCGGATTCACTATAGTCCGGTTTGAAAATTTCAAAACAAACTACATTTTAATTGAGCAGAATAGAAATGAATTCTAAAAAATTAGTACACAAAATTATTTTTAATACATAAATGATCGATTTTCTTTTCCCTTTATACAGTCAAGTCTCTCTTTGTGCCGTTTATGTTTATGTAGTTTTAAAGTTATACGATACGATACATATTTCAATTTTTTCTGGGGTTCCCTGTTGTATATGTATGTACCTATGCTCGCGTCTTTCGTTCTTGAGCTCTGACAGCTATCGCTGGAGGAGGTGGGGAGAGCACTACTTTAACGGAATTTTGGAAGAGCTACAACATCAGAAACGTTATCGAAAATATAGGCCAAGCATGGCATGAATTAACGGCAAGCAATATGAGGGCAGTATGGAAACATATCATACCACATTGTGCAAATGATTTCATTGGTTTTCAAACTCATTTTGCTGAAGTAACTAATAACATAGTGGAAATTGGAGAAGCAACTTGGCTTCAATGAGTTAGATTCCGTCAACGTAATTGAGTGCATCAAAGCGAACACTAATTAACTAGATAATGAAACACTTATTAACATAGATGAAGAACGGGAGGACAACTTAGACAATGACGACTGTGTTGAAGTGCCTGCACGAGAATTAACAGCTGAACAACTATCAAAAATTATTGGAATGGTTGAAACCTTGTCAGAGCATATTATGGAAATTGATCCCACTATTGAACGTAGCCTTACAATTCGCCGAACGATAAACAATGCAATTCGTTGCTACAAAAAAATGTATGAAGAGAAAAGGCCAAAGAATAAAAATGTGCAGACTTCAATATTGCAATTTTTAGAGAATAAAAAATGAATTGCGAAAAATATTATTTTTTAAAATGATTTCTAAT